TGACACCTAAGCTGGGGCCAAGACAGAGACAGCTGTGGCTGGGGCCTGGAAGAAGTTGGGTGGAGTTGCCATTTCTGCCTCAATAAGGAGTCAAACCCACAAGTTCCTTCCTGAGATAAAACAATGAAGAAATCCTCATGTGTGCAACTCAGAAATGGGGCCAGGTCTGGGAACCCATGATGAGTGGATTGGGGTGAGGCTTCCAGGCTTCTCCCAAAACCTAGTACTGGCAGGTAGGCTTGGGTAGGTGAGGATAGGACTTGATCCCTCAGGAATCATTTGGGGCCATCCTGTCTGGCTTGGCCTCCGTCTATCCTCCTGAAAGTCAAGTGGCATGGGGCACTATGGGTTCCAGCTAAAGGGGGTGGGGTGGGGTGCTATACCTCAGGACCTGTCCCTGATATCCTACCAAGGGGATGTGGCTTGGGTTGGGCAATCTCCCCTTTGAGGAACCTCAGCAAAGGCTCAGTGGCTGTCATTGGAGGAGTCATACTCCCTCCTGTTGATTCAAGAGGTGTGGACTTGGCTGGGATGCAGAGTTGCAGGGGAAGCTAGTGGTGATCTGCCCTTTCACAAATCCTTGGGGTTGGGAGAGTCTCTGCTTCATCCCAGAGGAGTCCCCAGTTCATAGTGATGCTGTGGTATCTGCTGCTTCCGTCTTTCAGCCCTGGCTGGAGAAATCCTCAGAGCCCTGAATGAAGTCAGGAGAAGGCCTGAATTACTGGCCCCTTAAACATAACCAGACAGGATTAAAAGGGATAATCCATGTAAAGTATGTTGTCTTGGCACCTAGTAAATGATCAGTAAGTGCTCAAAGCACATGCCCCCTCCTCTTCCCTGCCTTGAACTCCATGGTGCCTGGCCCTAAAATCAGAAACTGAGGTCTTGGGCTTTAAAAGTTTGATGGGCTTCCCTGCCTATGAGACTTTGAGACTTCTGCTTTACTCCTTCCTTTTCCCTTCTCCAGCCACTGACCCCACCCTTTTCCCCCTTTTCCAGGACTGGGAGGTGCTGGTCCTAGGGAAGCTCAAGTGGGACCTGGCTGCTGTGATTGCACATGATTTCCTGGCCCTCATTCTGCACCGGCTTTCTCTGCCCCGTGACCGACAGGCCTTGGTCAAAAAGCACGCCCAGACCTTTTTGGCCCTCTGTGCTACAGGTAAGAGCCCTGTGCACATTTTTGCCAAATTGGAAAAATCATTAGACTTATAAGAGAGAGAGGTAACTAGGAGATTCTGGTTTATACTGTCAAAATTAATTTGTGAAAATTACATCCCCTCTGAGCCCCTAGTCTCGATACAGAAAAGCAGGTCATAATCAGCTCTATGGGATCTCAGACCCCTCCAGTTTGTAGGAGGGACACCGAGGGTATAGAGAGAAGTGACTCGCCCAAGGTCCCACAGTGAACATGTTGGGAACAGAACCCCTGTCTCTTGGCCCTAGTTGTGTTCCCACACTAGGGAGTGTCTTGTCTATTCCCTGGACCTATGGAAACTGGCAGTTGGTCCTGATCTCTAGGAAAGATACTCTTTCCTGTCTTCCTCCCTTGCCGATATCTTGCCCCACCCACTGCTGGAGTTTTCTAGCATGTCCTCTGCTCTACTTATGCTGCCTGGCACTTTCCGAGGAGTCGGAAGTCCATGCTGGCTGTTATCCTTCAGGTTTCCTCATCTCATGGTTCCCTTTCCTCCTCTCCAAGATTATACCTTTGCCATGTACCCGCCATCCATGATCGCCACGGGCAGCATTGGGGCTGCAGTGCAAGGCCTGGGTGCCTGCTCCATGTCCGGGGATGAGCTCACAGAGCTGCTGGCAGGGATCACTGGCACTGAAGTGGTGAGTGCTGGGCAGCTGGGCAGCAGCCTCTCCATTCATATAGTGCTATGCCCTGAGCCTCCAGTAGAGGGAAACCTCCAACCCCAACCTGGTCCTGAGTCCTGGTTTCACAACCTTGGGGCTTTGTGGCTTTTTATCTCCTGCCTTGGTCTGGAGAAGAGCAAGTATCTTGGGTGGGGTGAAGGGCACTGGCCCTAGGGGCTCTTTTCTTGCCAAGTGGTGTGCTGGAGTGGGGGTGGGGGATTCGGTGTCAGATGCAGGGCTGCTCTCACACTCCCTTGCCACATCCTCTTGCTAGTTTCTGAGAACTGAAGAGCGATTCCTGGGGCTAGGCTGTGGCCTAACCTCCCCAGACTTCCCCATGTGTTGGGAGCTGTCCTTCCCCTGCACCTGCTGCCAGATGCTATGGGGGGGAGTGTTCACTCCTCACTGTTCTCCCATGTTCCCAGGACTGCCTGCGGGCCTGTCAGGAGCAGATCGAAGCTGCACTCAGGGAGAGCCTCAGGGAAGCCGCCCAGACCAGCTCCAGCCCAGCGCCCAAAGCCCCCCGGGGCTCCAGCAGCCAAGGGCCCAGCCAGACCAGCACTCCTACAGATGTCACAGCCATACACCTGTAGCCCTGGAGAGGCCCTCTGGAGTGGCCACTAAGCAGAGGAGGGGCCGCTGCCACCCACCTCCCTGCCTCCAGGAACAAACCACACCACATCTGAAGCCTGAAGGGGCGTCTGTTCCCCCTTCACAAAGCCCAAGGGGCCTGGTCCTACCCATCCCCGCAGTGTGCACTAAGGGGCCTGGCCAGCCACGTCTGCATTTCGGTGGGTAGTCAAGCTCCTCCTCCCTGCATCTGACCAGCAGCGCCTTTCCCAACTCTAGCTGGGGGTGGGCCAGGCTGATGGGACAGAATTCGATACATAACGCCAGCATTCCTTTTGAGCGCCCCCCACCCCTGGGGGCTGTTTTCAACTGCCAAAATGCTCTAGTGCCTTCTAAAGGTGTTGCCCCTTCTAGGGTTATTGCATTTGGATTGGGGTCCCTCTGAAATTTCATGCATGATAGACACGTATGAGGGGGAATAGTCTAGATGACTCCTCAGTACTTTGGAGGCCCCTATATAATCCGTGCTGACAGCTGCTCCTAGAGGGAGGGGCCTAGGCCTCAGCCAGAGAAGCTATAAATTCCTCTTTGCTTTGTTTTCTGCTCAGCTTCTGTGTGATTGACAGCTTTGCTGCTGAAGGCTCATTTTAATTTATTAATTGCTTTGAGCACAACTGTAAGAGGACGTAACGGGGTCCTGGCCATCCCACAAGTGGTGGTAACCCTGGTGGTTGCTGTTTTCCTCCCTTCTGCTACTGGCAAAAGGATCATTGTGGCCGAGGAGCTGCTACAGCCTGGGGTGGGGTCATGCCCTCCTCTCCCGTTGTCCCTCTGCCCCATCCTCCAGCAGAGAAAATGCAACAGGGATGCCCTGGAGGTGGCTGAGCCCCTGTCTAGAGAGGGAGGAAGCCCTGTTGACACAGGTCTTTCCTAAGGCCACAAGGTTTAGGCTGGTGGCCCAGGACCATCATCCTACTGTAATAAAGATTGTGAAATAAAACTGGCTTTGGCTTCTTGGATTGGTGTGTGGGTTAAGTCTATTTCTGGACTGTATGAGGTAAGGAGGCGGAAGCCAGTGGTCTAAAGCAGGGATCATTGAGCCTTTTCTGTAAAGGGCTGGATAGTTAGGCTTTGCGGGCTATATGGTCTCTGACCCAAATATAATCAGTTCTGCTTTATAATGTGACCTATGTGTTCCTGAAAATCACTATGCCATGCAATTTGCACAATAAAAACCACAGGTCTCATGGGAAAAATGGGGCTTGAAGCACAACACTCAAATGAGTGACACACGTTAAAAAAAGGAGAGCTTGGTTTTTACATATGTCAAATGGTTGAGAAATACATAAATATTACAATAAATACGGCCTTTTATCTTGAAGACATGCACTTTGCTTTTGGAAGTGGATGTTGGAAGGGCTGCTCAACACAGGTGGGCAGCTGAGTGAGGTAGCTGGTACATGTTCAAGTGTGAGTTTTGTGTACTAGTTAGGCTTGGTTCAGCTGGGTACAGTTTCCCATATTCACCTAATGTTTCTCGATGAAATCATACGCAAGCAACATTAAGCCTGCGTTATGATCAAACTGTTCCCAAATATATTAAATGGGTTGGAACAAATGCACAATTTTGGAAGCAAACAAGGGTTATAGCAGGATTATACTTAACTCTGCTGTTGTAGCACAAAAGCAGCCACATGAAACATGTAAATGGGTGAGCGTGGCTGTTCCAACAAAATTATGGATGCTGAAACTGGAATTTCATGTAATTCCTACCTATCACAAAATACTGTTAATTTTTTTCCCCATTTAAAAATGGAAAAATCATTCTTAGCTCACGGGCCACACAAAAACAGGCACTTGGGCTGGGTGCGGTGGCTCACGCCTGTCATCCCAGCACTTTGGGAGGCTGAGGCGGGTGGATCACCTGAGGTCAGGAGTTCGAGACCAGCCTGGCCAACCTGGTGAAACCCCATCTCTACTAAAAATTTAAAAATTAGCCAGGCGTGGTGGCACGCACCCGTAGTCTCAGCTACTCAGGAGGCTGAGGCAAGAGAATCTATCGAACCCAGGAGGCGGAGGCTGCAGTGAGCCAAGATCATGCCACTGTACTCCAGCCTGGGCAACAGAGCGAGACTCTGTCTCAAAAAATAAATCAACAAAAAAAGGGGCACTTGGCCGTAGTTTACTAGTCACTAAAGCTTTCATTGGCTGAAAAGCCAGAAAGGGAGCCTGTCTGATGCTAGCTCTGATCTAACTCTTCTTGGGCCCAGCCTTATTCTCTGGCCTTTCTTGACTGTATCTCTGCTTTCCTCAAGTTTTCTCTTGTAGTCCTTTCATCCACAGCTGACACATGACCATCTTTGGACAACCTGCTCCTGGCTGCTGCAGCCTGTCATGGGAGAAGGCAGAGGATGTGTCCCCAGGTGGCTAACAAGGTGAGTGTAGCCTGGAGAAACAAGCTTGGAGATCAAGGGAGGTGGCTCCTATATAAACGGGACAAGAATGTCCTCCATCTTCCAGATACTAACAGGAGTAATGCCCACCTCCATTTACTACACCAAACACAGAGGTTCAATAAATACCTGCCTTTGCCTTTATCCACAGTGACCTGACACAATAGCCATAGAAAAAGTACTCACACCAAGCCCCAGCTGGGGACTGGGAATGCCAGTGTATGGTATAAGTCGGCTCTCAGAACTGAACAGCGGTAAGGGTCTAGAATGGAAGAGGGAACCAGCCAGACCCTCAGTCCTTCCTGTCCTGGACTGGAAGCCACAGATGTTCCTGTGATCTGTCACTGCCCTGATCTGGGTCTTTAGCCATTAAGGTTTGGTGTCATCTTCAGTCACCAACGGGGGTCTTGGTGTCCTTCCAAACCCCTTTGGCCAGGACAACTGACTGTTTTCTCACTCCATGGTGATGGGAACATCTTCCACATCTCGGGGGACTGCGCTCTGAAGCTCACGCCTGATTTCGGGGGATAGCTGTGGATGGGGCTGCAGCCGGAGCAGTTCTAAGAGGGCCTCTTTCTGGTCTGTGGCCAAGTCGGCCTTGTAGCGCTGGACCAAAGTCAGGAGGCACTGGTGCCAGAGCACAGGCAGTTCACGCTTCTCTGTCCGGAACCCCAGGAAGTGGAAGACTAGGGCATCCAGCACCCGGTAAGGCAGTGCATACTTCTTATCCAGCAGCAGTCGCAGGAAGATGCTGTTGGCACCACTGTATTCCATCTCAGCAATTTTCAGCATGGCCGCACTAGTGGGAACGGGAGGTGGGGTAGAGTTAGCGGGGAAAACATTGGAAGAAGGATCCTACTTCTCCCTCTGTGCTGTCCCCCTTTTTTCTTCCCATCTGCTGGCCCTTACACTATGGTATTCCCCAGGGACCTTCTCACCTACCCAATCGTATTATACTCGCTTGACTTGAGTCACCATCTCTACAGGGATCCACCCAAATCTCTACCTCCAGCATAGACTGCTTGTTTCAGTACCCAACTAGAGTATGGTCCAAACATCTCAACATCTCCACCCTAACTACTTTCTTCCTGTGTTTCCTACTCATTTGTTCATCTATTTACTGCGTACTTTCTTTATACCAGGCACTCAGGCCCTGTTGTTGCAGAACTTACATTTAGGGGGATAATGATACACCTACTCATTGGCTTAAATAAGCACAAACCCAAGACTATCCTTAGCTTCTTCTCCACTCTACCCATCCCCAAGTCCTGGCAATTCCACTATCTGGATATCCACTGACCAGCCCCCACCCCGCCGCTCCACCCCCAGCAACGCTACCTGGAGTGCAACACAGGGATGGAGCACTTGGTGATGATGCTACCCACAATGATGGCTTCCCGGAGGGTGCAAGTGCCAGACTCGCACAGTGGAATCAGGACCCCTGGGGAGAGTCAAAGGGCAGTCACTATGAGCCCAGGATGAGAAAAAGGAGTTACAGCAGGAAGCATTCCCACCCAGCCCAGGGACAGCTAGCAATTTCCCACACCAGGCCTGCTGTGTTCCCCATAGAAGCTCCAGCCCTTCACTTTCTTCCCTGCCTCTGGGATCCCACCTTTGAACCAGGCTCCAGGTTTGAAAAGGGCCTTCTTGAGAGCCATGTAGAGATGGAAGTTGAGTCGTTTGTATTCAGCAATGTCATCTCGTACTCGCGGGAGCAGGACAAGGTTGTAGAAGCGCTGGGCCATGCGTTCCTTCAGGTTAGAGGCAAAAATCCTAGTGGGAGTTAAGTCGGGGAAGTTTCCAAGTCACACGACAGTCTGGACCCGGCCCATTAAATATCACCATGGATAGTGCATACAAGAGGTTTTAAAGTAAAATATGGGATCTTTCTTTCAGTGAGGGATGTGTGGGAGCTGTGTGCATGCAACACCCATCAGCTTAGAGAGAGAATAGGAGGGGCAATGAGATATATCCAAATGAGGAGTGCCGTCTGTCTGTGGGAGAGCCAGAGCTTGTGCAAACTGATGGCTACTCAGCTACTCTCCTTCCTCTTGCTATCATGGCTTCTCTCAATTTTGCTATCACTAGGGCCCTGAGTATGTCTGGACAGTCACAGACTTCTGAGGGTCCTGCTACAGGGTTGTATCCAGTGGCTATAAAAGCCTCTCCCCTAGAAATTGATCATGGAGGGCTGTATCCCAGTGGCTATAAAAGCCTCTTCCCCTAGAAATTCATCACAGAGGGTTCCTAACTGGCTAACTGGGTCTTGGCCCCAAAAAATGACACAGGAAAAGCTAGAAAAATGATGCTATAAAGTAGCAGAGAGGGCCCTGGGGCCAGAGGCAAGGAAAGCCTGTCCGTCCCAAGCCCAGCCTGCACCTATAGACCCAAGGTCTGCAAATCCCCATCTACTCTACCTGGTGGCTTGGTACATGGCGGCTGCAGTCCAGGCCTCAGGCTCTGTGACGTAGAGGATTTGTTCCCAGTTGGAGAGTGCAGGGATGATCTTAAATGCCTTAGGCAGTTTTCCACTGCGGTACTTAGATAATACCTAGGGATGAGGGAGGTAAAACAATCATTGTCATCCACATATGGCAAGCTTGCTGTGGGCTAGGAACTTGTCTGGGTGCTTTTAATATATTAACTCATTTCATCCCCACAATAACCCTTTAAGGAGGTGCCATTATTATGCTCGTTTTACAGATGACCAGTGAGAGTTCCAGTAACTGACCCAAGGTTGCCAAGTCATTTACAGACAGAGCAGGAATCTGAAACCACACACTCTGCCTCTTAGGTCTGTTTTCTACTGCCATGACTTCTTTAGTATGAGATGCAGGCAAAAGGCAAAAGCCTGTGGCGGGAGCCCACAGCCCCCAAAAGGGTCTTCCACTGTGGCTCCCCTCTCAGCTCTTACCTCCCGGACCCCCCTGTAGACTTCTAGGACCCGGGGGTCCAGCTGGGGCATAGGGAAGCCCGACACCTCTGACATGACTGTCTCAACCTCTGTCTGCTTCTCAGTCAGCTTCTCCATGATGATGTCAGCCAAGGTGCGCCTAAGAGGGGAAGTGCCAAGGGGAGGGGAGAGAGGAAGGAAGGAGCACTGTGGTCACTGTCCAGGAAGCTCCAGATTCCCCACAGTCCCTTGTGAGCACTGACATACTGCGATCCTGCTGGGATGTGCAGCTCAGAGTTCCCTCTCTGTGCCCATTCATCCACCACAGACAGAATCACTGCAGGGTGCAAAGGAACTGAAAGTCATTCCATTTAGGACAAAGCTGGCAGTTGTATGGAGGTTATTATGAATCTCAATTCTGAAATCGGTCTGCCCAGGTTCAAATCCTGGCTTACCCACTCCCTGTATGATCTTGGGCATGTTACTTAACCTCTCTATGCCTCTGTTTCCTCATTTGTAAAATAGGGATAATAACGGTACCCACCTTAAAAGATTAATGGAAGGATTAAGTAAGTTAATGTCTGTTCATTACTTGGAACGGTCAGTACACAGCAGTGTATCTATGGAAGTATTTCTAAAACTGATTATGTTCTTTTCAGCCTCCTTAAACACAGTATTGTTGGGTATATCAAACATTATCTTAATGATTCAGCATTACTATCACCTTGAGCTGTCATATAATACCAGTGCCTTCAGAGGCTGCTGAAGTGTATTTATTTATTTTTTTTTGAGACAGAGTCTAGCTCTGTTGCCCAGGTTGGCATGCAGTGGTACCATCACGGCTCACTGCAGCCTCTATCTCTCTGGCTCAAGCGATCTTCCTGCCTCAGTCTCTCAAGTAGCTGGGACCACAGGCACATAGCACAAGGCCCAGCTAGTATTTTATTCTTTTGTAGAGATGGGGTCTCCCCATGATGCCCAGGCTGGTCTCACACTCCTGGGCTCCTGCCTTGGGATCCCAAAGTGCTGAGATTACAGGTCTGGGCCACCATGCCCAGACTGACATGTATTTAAAGCTGCTCCTCAGTTGGGTGCAGTGGCTCGTGTTTGTAATCTCTGTACTTTGTGAGGCTGAGGGAGGTGAATCACGTGAGGTCAGGAGTTTGAGACCAGCCTGGCCAACATGGTGAAACCCCGTCTCTACTAATAAAACAAAAAGTAGCCAGGCGTGGTGGTGCACGCCTGTAATCTCAGCTACTCGAGAGAGTCCCAGAGTCAGTGCAACACTTATAGGACATGGAAACTTACGCAGACATGGCAACTGGGCCTCACAGCCGTCAGGTGGGGTTAAGAGTCAAACTCAGGTTTTTGAAAGTCTTAAGATGCTTTATAGTACCTTATAATGCGCCCCCAAACTAAATGGCCTCTGATTGTTGAATTCATGTGGATCTAGGCTTGCTTTCTGAAGACGCCAGCTATCATTTCTTACAACTGCCAGAAGTTCTGATTACTTCAAGGAGCTTGTCTATTCTATTTACTGCAAGCTGGAAAAGCATTCTGCTAAATTTGTCAGCGTCATCAGTGAAGTAGGAGTTATGAGGTGCTGAATGAGAACCTGAGAGGCTCTCTGGTGGGACAGGCCCAAGTACATATTTTGTGACACGTATTTCAACTGTTAGGCATCGATCTGGGAGAGGAGCTCATTTTCATTTCTTCATTCTGCATTTCAAATAAGTTGCCACAGAATTTATCAGCCTCCTTGTCCTTTTACAGTACAATTAGCAATGAGAGATGCATTAACCCCAAAAATCTAAAGTATCAGGGACACCATTATGTTAGTATCACAGGGTCAGAATGAACTGGTTGAGGACCCTTATCCTAGACTCCACTCCCCACGGCCAAAATTTATGGGCTCAGGAGTTTGACCACAGGCAGTCTAAATGCCTGCATGTTTTGGAGCCAGCATTTATTATAGATGGGAATAAATTAGTGGTCCTAACTGGGAGCAGTCTTGCCTCCCAGAGGACATTTAGCAACGTCTGATGTCATTTTTGGTTTTCATAATTAGAGGGAAGGTTGCTACTGGAGCCTAGAAGGTAGAGATCAGAGATATCTACTAAACATCCTACACTGCACAGGATAGCCTCCACACACACATAAAATTACCCAGCCCAAAATGTCAATAATGCTGAGGTTGAAAAACCCTGGCTTAAATGAAGCTTAGGATATGAACACTTGTCCAAGGGAGTTGAGCTTACCACTAAAAAAACCAAGAATACCAAAACCAGATGCAGTAGGATGGCTCTCCCCAGAGGTGTAAAACGGGCCTGGAGCTGTTTCCCTGGCAACTGGGCAGTTGTACAATAAATGGACAGAAGGATACAATGTTTTCTGAGGCTGGGTCATTCCCACTCACAGTGGTCTGCTGAGGATGGGCCAGTTTTGTCAAGGTGGTCCCCTACAACTAGCAACTCCAGGGCCCTTTCCTAAAGTAGGGAATCGTAAGTCTGCCAGGGAACTTGTTTTCCTGTGGGAACTTTCTACAAGCACCCATTATCCCAAATCCCCAGACCTACCTGGCAGGAGGGTTCTTGTTCATGAACATCTCTATGGCACGCTCATCCTCAGGGTCCACGACCACCTCTGCATGATGGCCCACCCCTGTCATTGTGGCAGCCTTCTCCAGGGTGGGCCACTCCTCATCCTCGTCATCTGATCCATCCTGAGGCATTCTTGGACCTAGAAGAGAGGAGACTAAATGGATGAGCACAGCAAAAGGTAGCTGAGGGATTTAGTCAGTTTAACTTTAGTCATTATGTAGTACAGGCCTCACATGTGGTTGTGATAGACACAGGTATGTGCAGTGAAACAAATGAGGCATGCATTAGCTCCCTGTCCCCAGGGGCTTGCAATCATGCTTGAGAAACAAAACGTATACACAGGAAACAATGAGAAAGAAATGGCCATAAGTAATAGTTAACATACCATACTCAGTTATGTAGAAGGAACTTCTTTTTTTTTTTTTTTTGAGACAGAGTCTCACTCTGTCGCCCAGGCTGGAGTGCAGTGACACAATCTTGGCTCACTGCAAGCTCCGCCTCCTGGGTTCATGCCATTCTCCTGCCTGAGCCTCCCAAGTAGCTGGGACTACAGGCACCTGCCACCACACCCAGTTAATTTTTTGTATTTTTAGTAGAGTCGGGGTTTCGCCACATTGGCCAGGCTGGTCTTGATCTCCTGACCCCTAGTGATCCGCTCACCTCGGCCTCCCAAAGTGCTGGGATTACAGGCGTGAGCCACCGCGCCGTGCCTGTAGAAGGAACTTCTAAACACTGTACCCATGTTAACTGTTTAATCCTTACAAACCCAAGAAGTGGCCGGGCGCGGTGGCTCACGTCTGTAATCCCAGCACTTTGGGAGGCTGAGGTGGGCGGATCATGAGGTCAAGAGATTGAGACCATCCTGGTCAACATGGTGAAACCCCGTCTGTACTAAAAATACAAAAATTAGCTGGGTGTGGTGGTGTGTGCCTATAGTCCCAGCTACTTGGGAGGTTGAGGCAGGAGAATTGCTTGAACCCAAGAGGTGGAGGTTGCAGTGAGCCAAGGTCACGCCACTGCACTCCAGCCTGGCGACAGTGAGATGCTGGCAAAAAAAAAAATACATAAAATTAAAAAAAAAATAAATAAACCTTCTTACGGAACATTGGCAAAAACTTAAAAAAAAAAATAATAAAATAAATAAATAAATAAAAATAAACCCAAGAAGCGGATACTATTATTATACCCAGTTTCAGATGAGGACACTGAAGCACCAAAAAGTTGATAATTTGCCCAAGACAGGTAGTCTGGGTCTAGACTGCATTCTTCACCACTATTCTACACATATTAGGGTTTGATTATATGCCACAATGAGTGGTAGAGACGACGTATGCACTTAGAGGATGAGTGGTGAGGACAGTTAGACGCTGGATGGGCAGTTTGGGAGCAGGCGGAGCGTGTTCCAGACGCGGAGAAAATAAGGCTTCGGATTTAAGTGTCTCCTAGGCAATAGCAATAAATAATGCTAGGTAGGTGGGAAAGGTGAAGCCAGACTGGAGGGCCTTTAAAGTCAGGCAGTGGAGTTCAGATTTCAATCCACCAGTCTATTTGGTCTAAATGAAGTTGGCTGGGCATGGTGGTTCATGCCTGTAATCCCATCACTTTGGAAGACCGAAGTGGGTGGATCATCTGAGATTGGGAGTTCGAGACCAGCCTGACCAACAAGGAGAAGCCCTGTCTCTACTAAAAATACAAAAAATTAGCTGGGTGTGGTGGCGTGCGCCTGTAATCCCAGCTACTTGGGAGGGAGGCCGAGGCAGGAGAATCGCTTGAACCAGGGAGTCGGAGGTTGCAGTGAGCCGAGATCGCGCCACTGCACTCCAGCCTGGCCAAAGAGCAAGACTCCATCTCA